GATATTTTGCATAATCACATTTATTGAAGTCATTTGAATTACAACAAAAATGTAAAAGAATTCTCATCAAAATGGCCCTTTCTGTCTCTAGGGCAGTACATTGAAAGGGACAACTTTGTACCTTTGTTACCCCTAAATGGTTCATAGTATCATAAGAATACCTATTACTACCTTAAGGGTTCATGTTACTACTCTAAGGTGTGAATATGCACCCTTTAGGGGGAAAATGGTACAAAGGTGTCCCTTTGAGGGTATTGCCCCAGTGACAAGCTGTTGTACCTACAAAAGTATGATTTTTGCACTTTTTTCTGACAATTTATATGCTACTTTGGAAGGTCCAGAGATCCACAATAACCATGTGCTGGTATTTCACAGCAAATACTGAACGCATTACCCTTTAAATTTCATTGGACTTCTGGAATTCTGTTGTGTATGCAAGTATTGAAAACCAAGTAAATATTAAACTTTTATGGACACATACAATTGAACAGACCACATCACACAGAGCATGGCACTAACATGACATCATGTCAAAGTGAGGAGTGTATCTGTCTATGTCTCATGCAAGAACTTCTATTATTCATCTGAACAAAGGTCTATAGAAACCTGATGAAATCAAAGAGCTATGGGAAGAAAATCCTGCTTGAACCGCTCCCTCGATTCAGGAAAGACACAAGAACGTTTATGTGGATTCAAATATCTTGCCAGCTTTCATCTTCAGGCCTTCACTCTTTTTACCGTTATAGAGTTCTTCAATGGAATTGTAATAAACTAGAACAGACATCTGCACTTAATTGGAAAGTTTGCCCAAAACATTTAAAACCAAGAGTTGTATGTAGAAAACCATTATCTACTCACCATTTGTGTAAAAAAGAGCAGCCTGGACGTTCTGCTAGCTAACTCCTCTAGTTAAAAAAAGCATAATTTGTGTTTCAACCATCATGAGGTAATTAAAATGAAAACATAATTTTAATTTGTGTTAGAACTATCATGGCATGGTCTCAAAAAGCTGGCCAAAAATAGACCGGTGACCTGCACACTTGTGAAAGCACATTGGAAACCACAATGTAATGCCTGAAAAATATCAACAACAGGCCACCCTAATGAAAACCTGTTTTTGTTTAGTCCAAGTGAAAGTTTCTCTGGATATCATGTTCTTCCTAAATGAGGAAGCATCCAGATAATGTGTTTTCCAAAGCACAGCACATTCTCTGGGGAAGGGAAGCCAAGATCAAAACATAAAAACGGGCAGAGGTTTCCGCTGCACAATGTACATTTGAGAGGAGCTTGATACACACATAAGGGTGGAGTGTGGTCCACTGCCAAACTGTACGGTCTTATGGAGATTTACAATAATCTGAATGACACATGTGTCAGCTAAAAAAAGAACCCAATTACATCCAAATAATGTAAAATTAATGAACTATGTGTGTTTACAATGCAGCAAACAGAAAAACACGTTTATTTTAGGTTTAAAAACATTCTCTCTCTGTAAATTATGATAATGTGTATATTGCAAGGGCTGTAAATGGACTTTTGTTGTACAATGGCATACTGAATAATTATACAAGAATTAGAAAAATTTTATTTTATTTATTATAGCACATCACACTGAAGGATACAGCTGTCACTGCTTGAACTTGAATATAAACTGCTGAAATATAGCTGTAGACATCTTTGAAAAAACAGGACAAATGCAGATATAATGTGATAATCCATTATTTCCCATAATATTCTCATAGTATTAAAATAAACATTAACAACCTATCTGCAAAAATCCTTTCCAGTGCATGTAATGGATTTGCATTAACTACTAAAATTATTTTTTATAAAAACATAAAAAATAATGTAAGCCATAATGTCATCTAAAATCTCTTATACAGGATCTATAAACAGGAATGTACCAGTACTTATTACAATTTATTGATGGATTCAGTTCAAGACTGCAAATCAAAGGTAAACCATTTGGCCATGTGTCACCTTTTAACTAGCAATAACAAACTTTGAGTAGAAAATCTTTGGGTAAACAACAGTCTCACAAGCACTGATGGAATCAGTGAGTCCACGATATCCTACCTGCATATCTCAGTCTCAGTCTCACAATGCTACCTTGTTTACCGTTTACCTTACAAAACCTCAGAAAGGTATGCAGCCTTGGCATCAGCGTATGGCAAGCCTTAAGGATCATCTCTTTCACTTCCATCCGAACAGTCAGCAAATTTAAAAAAAATAAAATTAAAATAAAAAAAACGGGAAAATTAAAATGTATCAAAACTCAACTATTATGTTCTGACCACATATGGTCCCACCTGAGAGGAGCAAAAGTTTCAAAACACTAGAAGATCTGGAAACGCTTTTCTGCTGAACTACAACACAGCTTCTGGCTAAGAGTACAGTACCATCAGATATACAGTAAGTAGAGATTCACAGAAATTGGAAATTTACAAAAAACATTAGGCTTTAGGGGAGGGGCACATCAGATTATTTGACAGAAAAGCTAAAGGGGATCTCCTGAGGGTCCAACACGCACGTATGATCGCACATACAAACACAGAAACCTCAACTGGGAACACAAACTAACTGCTGTGGGTGGAGGGACTCGTGTTAAACTATCATTTCCTCTCGAGGTGGAGTAATGCTAATTAAAATAAACAAACATAATCATTGGTTCGGTAAACATCCTGCAATCTGTCAAAAAGGCTTCATGACATGGACAACAACAAGAGTTTGAAGAAAAACCCAAGCCATATTTTAAGTAATAACCATTATTGTATGCAAAGTCCAAGCATTCCAATAAGGGAAGTAGCGTTCGTAAACTGTCTCTCCCCTTACTTCCTCTTTCCTGCTGAACAAGCTATGTGCGAAGAACTGGGTGAGACAGGATTCTAGTGTAACCAAATCAATCGGTAAGTCTAGATTAAATGCCAAAGCTGGGTTTTGTCATTCAAATAAAACCTCAAAGGCTCTTTTAGAAACTCACCCTGATTTCACTTTCAAGTGACCCTCTGTGCTGATCTGTATTTTACAGATTTGTGTAAATGGATCAGACCTTCTTTTCCAGCATTGCAATTAGAATTGGCAGGTTTAAAAACGATGAGAACAGGTGAGATTTAGCTCAACTCACAAATTATTATTATTGCTCATATTTTAAGGATATTAAACAATTGCATCATGTCGTTTAGCTCAAATCTTGAACAGTTTGGCTTGTTGAGGAGAGGCATGCTATTACCTTTCTATGCAAACAACTTTTGGCCAATTAATGATAAAATGCCCCAAAACATCCCATAGACTTGCAAGCAATGTAAATGTAGTTTTATCGAAAAAGCAGAACACTCTACCAGCATTTGGGTTTTGTGCCATCTCATTTCAACTTAACACACAGTCCAACAAATTATTAATTGTTTACTGTTGGGTTTACATTCATGTTTTAGAGAAAAAAAAAATTCTAACACTTTGATTTTGAAATAACAATCAAAATGAATAATTAAATTATTTTTCATATAAACCCATGAATACTGTAAACATACAGCAAACCGCCAAAAATCAATGCCACTAAGTGGGGTGTTTGGTCAATCATTTACGTTGCCTTAGTCTCAAAATAGTCTTATGACGTGACATTCCAGTGTATTTTGACCCCATTCTTGATCACGGAGTTTACAGACACTTCTTCCTAATGCAATACAAACAACAGAAACCAGGAACACTTCACAAACAAAAACAAAGTAACTTCCTCATTGCTGTTCACTTAGGTCTGATTAAAAGTAAAGGAATTTATATCAAACCAGATGATACAACTATTAGTCAAAAATAAACCCCACTCAATCATTAGTTCAGCTAAAACTGTCAGTGGTGACTACCAAGGTTGAATGCAGGTCAAAAATTATCTAAAGTTTTGAGGACACAATGCTAAATTTAAACACATCTGCATACATCTGTGAGGTTTTGGCTTGCTCCTGTTGTAACTGCAAAATATTCATATACAAAAGGCAGAATTTATCAATTTGAAATGAAAATCACAAAACTGTGCAAAGAAATAATCAGAAGGGCTTTAAAAAAAATTAAACAGTCTGCAAGAAATATAATCAATCAGTGAAACCCTGATTTACACAGCTTATAAGTCACAGTTCAGAGAGCAAGTGGCCTCATCTGCTCAAAATAGCTCCACTGTAAGAGGTCAAAACAGACTTGAATGATTTGACACACAAATTAATCAATTACATGATAGATTTATCTTAAAGGTAAAGCACAATAAGTCTGCCATATGGAGTATACACAATCTCTCCAGCTTTTGCGTAACCGCTTAAAGTTGCGTTTAAATATCAATATACTTCCAGGTTTAAATTTTAGTTTTGGTATAGCCTATAGTTTTAGTACTCATAACGATAACTGATTATCCGGTCTAATAAAAACATACAATAAAAACACTGGCACAGCATGGCAATCATTTAACAGCAATAATGAACCTTGGCTTAATGGCTTAAATGTACTTTATATTTATATCTGTAAATGTTTAATTGGAGGGGG